AACCAGCACGGAGCAGCTCTACGCAAGACGAAGTGGATATCGTCCTCTTTTGGAAGGCCAAACAAAGTTGTTTCGCTTTCACAACGAAGCACACAGCGCCTTCACAGCATGGCGGCGGTGGCAACAATACTACAGCGAGAATAAAAGTTACGCTTTCTTTCTTTGCGTGAACATTTGGGCTGTGTTATGCAAATCTTCCCACATCGTGACGTAGGTATGTGGGGGCGTGTTAGAACGAGCCGTTTTAGGTAGGTGTGGCTAACTCTTAACTTTTATAAAGAATATAAAAATAAAATCTTTGGATTTGAGACTTTAGTCTTTGCAACTTTACAGATCTTCTTTATGCACCAAGAGCTTGTAACACTTCAAAGAGAAAGGAAAAATTGAAATCGCATCATATGACCCCTTTAAAAATCTTACCGACCTTAAACGGTTTAACATTAGTGTACAACTCTCAGTCTTGTACCAGGTGTCTAAAGTAAAGGTAAAAACTCTTACCATTCCTAGCCAGCACATCCTCCCACAATGGACACACTCCGTAGAAAAAGGTGGGCGACCCCTGTGCGGTTTTCGAGGGAGTCTGTGTCTCCGACTGTGAATTCTCCACATTACAAGGGCACACCGTTCCACTCAGAGCCTCCTCCTCAGGTGGGTTAAGGCCCATGCCGTACCCAAAATCCCCATCCTCACCTGTGACCGAATCTTGGGTTGCTGATGTGGCACAGGGTGGCACTACACTCCCAGAGCTGTCCAACCAGGCACTGTTACCACCGCTGCTGTCGGGCTCGGTAAGTCCAGCGTTCTCCACCAGAGTCCTGGCAAGCTTACGCTCAAATATGGCTCTTGTCGTGGCGGTGATGGGGCCACATTTCAAGTTGGCTTTAATGATCTCCTCCCTCAACTCGTCAGCAGTGAGACCTTTCAACCTGCTCAGGACAGCGTCCATGCTTCTGCTGCTACGGCTACCTGATCAGCAAAAAAATTCAAACAGAAATTGATATGAAAGCAGAAAAGGGAGTATAACCGGGCAAAACCCCCACATGTCTCATGCTGATAACAGCATCAGCTGGGACTGGTAACAAACGTAGTATAAAACAGGTAGGGCACTTTACATGTTCTGCCGCACTACTGGTGCTTTTCAGAAACAACATACTTCCTTTTTTATTGTCAAGGCATCACAAAAAAAACACACATGAAGAACAAATGCAAATGTACAGACTTAATATAGTACACATCACTAGGAATGAAAAGCACCAATTATAAAATAAATATTAAACATTATAAAAATTTAAAATTACAAATAAAAATTGATACACATATATAAAATGATGAGATATGACATTGAAAAAAAATTGCATCATTTAACCATATAAATTAAGAGGGAAGCACAGGTTCACTGTCTTAAGACCCTTGGAGTTCTTTGATGAAGAAATAGCTTGTATATATTGCTTGATATCTGTTTTAAATTACAAATAAAAATTGATACACATATATAAAATGATGAGATATGACATTGAAAAAAATTGCATCATTTAACCATATAAATTAAGAGGGAAGCACAGGTTCACTGTCTTAAGACCCTTGGAGTTCTTTGATGAAGAAATAGCTTGTATATATTGCTTGATATCTGTTTTTTTTAAGCCAACAAAAATAAAGATTGAATTTTTGCATGTGAAATGTGGCAAAGAGCAATAAAAGATTAACAATAAAATACTCATTCTCTTTGTTGTTTAGGTTTTAGAAACCAAACACGTGGCTTTAACAGCACTGAGACACCCCTAAGCAAATTTGGTTAATAAACAACAACAAAAACAACACAAAATTATTTTGTATAAGGACAATCCCAAAAAACATGAGGTGCATTTTCACTAGAGGAATCACAAAAACAGCAATCTGTATCTATATCTAATGTAACTTTGGTGGTAGTTCAAAAGGACATCACTTACTTTATTAGTTATGTATTTAAGCAGGCACTGTCCGTCGTTTTTTCCAATCAACACGAAACCAAAGTTCTCTCAGTATGACAAAATATATATAAATAATTTACGTTTATGAAACGCGCTATAACGTCATGGCGCGTCATCGCGGCAGTTAAACTGACAGCTTCAAGCTCTTTTGCATTGTAACGGATCAAAAACGTGCGACACGAAGCGGGGCTGCACAAATCGTGGCACCGGTCGCGTTTGGTTTGAACTAAACTCCTCTAAATCGCATCCCCTGTGAGGCAAGCATGCATCTGTAACATCTAAAAAGTTTATTGAAACCGAGGCGTCACGCCCAAACTACAATCCATTGTAGTTTTTGTCTGTATATTCCACGATCCTGAATAATAGAGATGATAGATCAAAACACGGGAGATTTAAATGTCACCCGTCATTTTTGCACCACTTACCATCTATCAGCTGAACAGTGACGCCGAGCGCGATGGAAACTCGTGTGCATGTGTGATTTATTAAACGTTTATATGAGTGTGAACGGCGCGGACGCTCTGGAAGGGTCGCGCTGTTTATTGCTCGGTCTGCGCATGCGCGTGGAACGGTCTGCGCCTGCTCACTGCGCCAGGCAGGGTTCATGTGTTTCAAACGCCGGGTGCATCGGATCTTTTCAGTGAATCGACTGAACAGGTTCACGAAAGAGATCTGAACGATTCGTTCACAAATTCAACTCATTTTGGGGTGGAAAATGGTACATTATCCAAGTATTATACACAAAATTAGAGACGCATTTACATTTAGTCATTTAGCAGACACTTTTATCCAAAGCGACTTACAAATGAGGACAATGGAAGCAATCAAAATCAACAAAAGAGCAATGATATGCAAGTGCTATGACAAGTCTGTTAGGGTTTTTTAATGAAAGGAAAAAGAATAGAGCAAGCTTGTGTTAGAGGCCTTTTTTTTTGCTTTTTGTTAATTTTATAATAAAAAGAAAACAAATAGATAAAACACAAAAAGAATAGAGAAGCTAGTTCGTTTTTTTTAACAAAACACGCAGTTAGTAAATTAATGGAGTGCAAGTCTAAAAGGGACAAGTTTTTTTTTTAAGAATAGAATTAGAATAGAGAGTGTTAGAGTTAGAGGGGCAAATAAAGATGGAAGAGATGTGTTTTTACTCGTTTCTTGAAGATGGTTAAGGAATCAGCTGCTTGGATTGAGTTGGGCATAAAGCGACGTTCACTTGCAGAACGCAAGCTTCTAAACGTCTCCCTTATGTCCTTGCGGATCAGTATTTGCAGAAATGTAGGAAAGATAAACACAAACTATATTTTGTAATGATTACCCTGAAATATTTTACATTTAAAGAGTTCAGATGCATAAGCCTCTAAGTGCCGTTTAACATTTTCTTCTAAAATGAGCATTTTTATCAGGCTCCTAGATTTATGTTCAGTTATTTCACTTTTATTGCATAGAAAAGGACCTATACATTGCCATTAGAGTAAAATGACTGAATCTAAACATAAGAGCCTGATAAAAATGGCACTTAGAGGCTTTTGCATCTGAACTGCCCCACAGAAATATATACGAGTATATTTGCAGCAATAGCTTCGCTTGATAAACAATAAATTGTATGGGTCAAAATGATCGATTTTTCTTTTATGCCAAAAATCATTAGGATATTAAGTAAAGATCATGTTCCATGAAGATATTTTGTAAATTTCCTACCGTAAATATATCAAAACTTAATTTTTGATTAAGATCATACATTGCTAAGAACTTCATTTGGACAACTTTAAAGACGATTTTCTCAATATTTAAATATATCAAAACTTAATTTTTGATTAGTAACATACATTGCTAAGAACTTCATTTGGACAACTTTAAAGGCGATTTTCTCAATATTTAGATTTTTTTTTGCACCCTCAGATTTATCTCGGCCAAATATTGTCAAAAACTCAGCCAGATAAGAGAATCTAGATATTAACGTTACCTCTGCTTCTGTCTGCAAATTTATGAAGGCTGCAGGTGGAGATGGGTTGCACACCAAGAGCTCCTTACGTTAACTTACATGCTTAGTTTCCATACAGCCATGCCTATTGACACTTATTGCGGCAAAACAGAAACTATCTCGCCCTCGATAATGGCTCTTTCTGTACGAAAACAGCTATAATCATGTACAAATGAAAATATGGGGTTCACAGAGATCTCGCTAGTTGTTTCAAGTTAACGTCTGAGCAAAGCAGGGTTGCCAGATTTCGTAACAAAACCCGCCCAGTTGCTACTCAAAACTAGCCCAATCGCGTTTCGAGGGGGGTTCCCCGGTAAAAAATAAATAAATAAAAATCGCGTTCCCGGAGGTAAAATACACGTTTTTTGGCGGGGTTCCTCCGGTACAATTCGCATGCGTTATTGGGGTCGCTTCAACCCGCGGACATGAAAAACAACCCGCGACAACAGTGTTAAAGTAGCCCAATTCCATGGGAAAACCGCAGACTTGGCAACACTGTGACAGATAGTAATGTTTACAACATACACGAGCGCTGTCTCAGTGCAACCACAACAGCTTGAAGTTGTCTAATGTGGCACGGTCTCCCTGCTGCACTAATAGTATGTAGCGTCTGGACCAATCAAACACACAATTTTTCATTTGATTTAACAAATCTCCCAATTCCGCGGGAAAACCGCGGACTCGGCAACACTGGAGCAAAGCGTGCCTCCCGGAAGTCTCTCTTGCTCGATGCGTCTTTGCTCGTTTTTGAACGGGTTTTAGCAGCGCTGCCTAGTGGCTGACTTGTGTATTTATTAAATTACGTGTACATTAAAATGATTAAAAAGTTGATCACAAACAAATGCTTGTGAAGCAGTACACAGTATGTAACGATAAACGTTTTAAACTGTAGTGTGCTGTATTGTTTCACGTTATTATGTTTAATTTGGCAAGTGCCTTCCAGGGGCCTGTTTCATAAAACAAGTTTACCAACTAAGCCAGATTTATTTGAGTTTGTCTGATGTATTGTCAGTTCATTTGGTTCAAAATAAGTCAGACTAACTGATATAAGCCTGGCTTGTTTGGTAAACTTGTTTTATGAAACAAGCCCCAGTTGTCATGCCATTATCAATTATATTTATCCATTTGAATCTAAATTGTGTAAAACAGTCATTAATGAAAATTCATAAAAAGGTGTCCGTGTTACATGTGCTTACTATTATAATAACAATAAATTAAAACCTAAGCATATTGTAAGTGCATGTAGTTAATTTATATTATTCAGTACTTAACTGTATAATTACACTGTAACAAAATAAAGTGCAACCTATTTAGCTTATATTACTGTATAAAGCTTAAATGAGATTACACTGTAAAAAATGACCGTGAATTTAACGGTAAAAGACTGTAAAAATGCTACAGTAAAAACCTGTTAAATGGTTAACGGTAAATTCCCCTACTATATATGGTGAAAAACTGTATTGGACATTACATGTATTGGACATTAATTTTACGGTAGTATACCGTAATCAAATACGTACAACACACTCAACAGCGCTTCCGAGAGCACATTCAACCTATTTTACATTATTTCCCAAGATCTCTCTACAGAAAAACTTAATTCAAGCTATACATTTTTAGCAGTATTTAAAGGTTTCCTTATTGGATTCATTTTAAGGCGCAGCCCTAAACAGAACTAGTCGAATTCTGACAGACCTTTTCTATGAGATCTAACATCTGCAAACCGTAGACAAAACCCAGATACTTGCTGATATTGGATGATCTGATCTATTAATATATATTACCCCAAACAAATGGGCTACTATACTTTCTCCCAGTCTCACACGTACATTCCTGGGGCTTCAGGTCCTGAGTTTCAATCAGAAAGAGGCCGTAGTGCGAAGTATAATATTGTAAGCGCATCCTTAAGGTCCCCACAAAGAACAGTGGATCTAAACTCTGAGACTTGTGGGTAAAGCAGTACACAGTGTGTATGTTAAGTTGTCAGCATCGCTTTAGACGTGATCTGAGGCCTGGGAAAACTAAGAACGCTCGGTTTTTGGGGGAGTCTGTGCTCTAAAATGCGTGATTGATATGGGGCCTCGTATGGTTTAGTAGGTAATATTTGCATTATATTGCAGGGAACAGCTCTAGATCAGGCATCTGTCCAGTGATGAGAGGTCAGCTCATTCACAGGCACAGAGGATTGGAAGAACAGTTCAGCTGTGAGATATATAGGATATATATCTGACCAATCAGGTCGATAGGTCACTAGTTACTACAACACTGGAGTCTGGTGCCCTGGATGTTTGTTGTAGATCACATTTGTGTGCGTGTTTTTTTTTTTTTTCCTCACTTCTGCAGGACTAAGCAGCCTAGCAGTAGCCCTCACAAACCTCTTATGAGATGAGAAAGAAAACAAAATCGAAGCTGAACATCAGGTGGGCGACTACTGTGAAACTACAAGCGAGATAAACAGAACAGCTAGACGGAGAGAGCAGCTCTATACGTTCAATGTGAAAATAAAAAGTGATTACAACACAAACAAACAACAAAGTGACCCCCGAAAATAAAGCTGTGGTTGGTTTCACCCGAACAATCTTGGTTAGGAAGGGATAAAGCCAAATATTGGCGGTTGATAAGAAATAAAGAAAGAAACTTAAAAGTGCCCATAGAGATAAAACGGAACTTTCTCTTTGTGGATTCTTTGTGTATTACGAGGGCTGCATCTCTCCCTGTATCTTATCGTTCTCTTCTTTATCAGGTGAGTCGTTGCTACTGTTGTCATGAAGCCCCAGTTTTTGGAGCTCCTCCTCTGCACTGGCCAACGACGTCACTGTGACCGTGTGTTCCTCCATCTGCTTCTGAAGGCTGTCCATCTCCTGCCTACGAGAAATGACCATCAGATGAGTGAGAAAGGAATGCCATCTGTTATGTGGTAGCTTTATTTATATGAAAAGGGAGGCAGGGGAGAGCAGGTTTGTGTAATTGGATTTTCTGGTGTTTTTTCCGGAATACAATGAATAGTTTCATCTACTCAGAAAGGGCATATTGCAACAATCTTATGATAGCTTCAAATGCTCATATCTGATTAAGAATTTTATCGTAAGTGTCTTAAGTCTTAGGTGTCACATGCTTCAGAAATCATTCTAATATACAGATTTGGTGCTCAAGAATTAGTTCCTGTTATAATATGTTAAAAACGTGTGCCATTTAATTCTTTTCTTGAAAGCATGATACAATTATTTCAGGTTTTTAAAGTGCCCCTTTCATGCAGTGTGTAACACAGCTCTACGTGAATGAAAACATCCTGCCAAGTTTTAAATCTGAAAGTGCACCGTGTATGAAGTTATTGTCTCTCAAAAGAAGAAAGAGTCGACTCTGATTCATTGAAACGAGTCGTTTTTAAAATGAATCCCAAGCCGTTTCATGTTGAGGTCAA